GAACAAACTGTGTTTTGAAATTTGAATATGTCGAAAGCAATACTTCAAAAATAAACGTATTAACCAGAAATTGTGATTTTGCTTCCTTGTGCAGCTCAGTAATATATTAAATTATAAAAATGTATTGTCCTTGATCTACATATTTTAGTTCTGTACGTTCTGGAAATATTTAAGTATTTTATTATTGTGAAATTTACATTACACATGAGTTTGCCTTCTTTTTGAGCACATGCATCAATTATAAACAGTTCTTTTCTTTCTTTCTCTTAGAGACCTGTAGGTGATTACTGAGAACATATTTTTCTATTAATTTTCACACTCTGAAATATATTCTTATTGACTCTAAGGAACTCAGAGCTAGAAAACTTTGACTAGAAAATATCACTCAATAAATTATATGAATAAAGTTTAGCAGAATTTTCCCTCTTCAATTTAAAGATGATAAAGAAAATATTGAAACAAAACTTGTGAAAATTTACTCTGCCAGTAACACAGAAAAAAAGTCTTTTAACTCCAAGTTAATGGAGCGTTCCAGGGTTTGTAATGTGTATTTATTGTGTTCAATAATGAGATATTGTAAATAGTTGTATAGTTGTTTTGAAAGAGAAATAACTTAATTTCCAACTGCTTAAGAAAAAGAAAGAAAGAAAGAAAGAAAGAAAGAAAGAAAGAAAGAAAGAAAAAAGAAAAAGAAATAACTAAGTGTGTGAACATTTCAGTTTGTTTTGGCCAATATAGAGATTTGTGCACTTAAACCAACTGCAATTCTATTGCATTCTAGATACCAATAAATTAGGGAGAATTCTCAAGATAATTAGTAATTGAAAATTAACAGCAAAAACTATCATACTTATGTGGAATCTTATTGGCTATACATTTCATATATTTTAATGGAAATTGTGTTAATGCAATTTCATAATTGGTTTGTATTTTTTCTTTATAACAAATGAAACTTACCTGCATGTTTCGTGATATATTGAGGTACCAAATTAAAATAGTTCAGTTAAGCTAAAAGCAGCAATACTGTAAAGTTCCACACGACTTGAACAGTTTTACAATAAAATCTATCTCCTCAATTAAACTGTAGTAAAAATAAATAATCATATATTAAAAACCAAGTATCAGTAAAACCTGACGGTAATCTTTCAATATAGTAAAATAAGGATTAAAGCATAATTTTTACCATATCACGCCTTGGTGAAGTATTGTTTATGTAAGTGTTAGAGACTATAATTCAGATAATTTGGTTTATGTGGTTCCTTTGACAGTGTGGAAAGTCAGTGTTGTGAGCTGAATTGGCTCTTCAAAGTTGAAAGACTATCAAGGCCACCTACTGTGCATGAGGATTTTTTTTTCTCCTTAAACAATAAAGAATAAGGTATAAAGCCCAGCATTTTAAAAAGGAAGGAATAGAAAATGTGGGAGAATATGACACATCTGGAGATTCTGAAATTCTGAAACATTTGAAATCTAAAATTAGGATCAATACACTTGAATTAAGACAGTCACATCAAAAGAGGCAGAGAGATACAGAACTAGTTTAAGAATTAAATACAAAAGCAACTGCAATGTAAAAAGTGCTCAGATTATAGCTTTTTTGAGTTTTTTCCTCGATAATATTTCAAGATCTTTTAAAATAGTTTAAATAATAATGTGAACATGATAGGAATAAATGCTAAATAATTGCTTCCTGCCTTCTTCCTTCTTTCACTGCATAAATTCCTCCCCACCTCCGCATTCTCATTTTTTCTCTTTTCCCCTCTAGCATTTTGCACAAAACAAAGAATAAAAAAGTAAAACACTTTCTATATTAAAAAATCATTTTTACACATAGGGTTGACGGTTAGTCACATATTTGAAATGATCATGCACTTCAAATTAGTATAGGCTATTGTAAGGGAAGGTATTTGAAAATTCTGATCAGATGGTAGCTCCCTTGATGCAAGGGCTATAGTACAGTTTTCACATTACATCCCCTGGAACGAGATTTAATGCTGGGTATTATGGCTAACTGGAGGCACTTGTGGTTGTGAGGGTATTATGGAAAGGAAAGAAAAATGAATTAAGATGTACTTTCTACTTCTATTACTAGAAAGTTCATCCTCCCCTCAACCCCGTCCTCTCTCAGCAATTTTCTTCACCAAGAATTCTTTGATATTAAATGTTTGAACCATAATTACATGTTAAATTAGTTGGGCAGGAGTGTTAAATAACTACCAATATTTTTATTCAAGTGAATCAAATATAAATTCTAGCACTGGAAAAACTTCCTGTGTCAGTATTTCAATAAAACACTCACCAGTTTTAATTTAAGAAAATCATTTGACTTGAATTTCAAATTTATGCATAAATACCACAAAGAATTTTAAGGGTTGTATATGTTATATATATGGTAATCCAATGATTTTAAATTCATATCAATTCAGAGTAGTTAAGTTAAAAAGTCTTTACTGTGACTCTTATTTGGAAAACCAATTAGAGCACCTCAAATAACTCTGAAGAGAGATTTTTTTTTAAGTTATTATTCCTGAATGAAAACCTACCATGAGCCAGGGGATGGGTGTGCACATGATCATCATAGACAGATTCTTATTTAAGGTTATAGAGCTTAGAATAAAGTTAGTAGAACAGAAGGAAGGGTGCCCACCACTGAAGTGGGGGGATTTCCAAGTCTATTAGGTGAATTTGCAGACATGGGTCTTAACATCAAACATGCCTGCATTCTCCAACTTGCATTAATTTAGTGTCACACAAGATGTTATCGACCCAAAGAAATAAAGAGTTGCATGACAAAATTACTCCAATCATAGCCAAATTGCTTTTAGCACTTCAGTTTTATATCATTGGGGAGTCCTACTTCTTTACTCTGTTTTCTTTCCTGTGTGACTGGAAAAATTTATGCAACACCAAAAAATAAAAAAACCTAAAATTCCTATGTCTATAGACATCACTGAATCCACTTTGAAAATTGAATGAACTAAACACATTGCTTATGTTAAATACAACATAAACCCATATAATTGTATAGTGCAAATACCAAGGCTAAGAATGTTACAAATTGCCTGTCATATACAAAATTGCCTGTCATCAAAATTAAAGTCATTTTGATCTTCCTAATTGTTTGGATTTTTCCTGCTAAAATAATATAAAATAAATAGAAACATTAGATAATTTATTCAAAATAAATAAACAAGAAATGGTTCGATACTCAATATCCTGTTATATTTGAGATTAAGTATACTTATATGTCATTGCTATTTTCTTTTATATTTTTCTTCTTTCTTCATCATTGAAAGCCTTCCCAGTTATAATCCAAGACTGTATGTAAAAACTGCAGTATATTTCTCAAAATTAACAGATAGGCACCATACATCAGGAATGTACCTACACCATGATCCACAAATTTTCTGATCAATGATATCAATTAGAAGATCAGTCAATGAGATTATAACATGACATTACGTGGACTATTTAACATGTGCTAGTATGTGAAGGAAACAAAAATGGTTCTTTGAAGACAGTTGCATAGGGTAGCTGAATAGGACCCGACATCTCTCAAAACTTGATAAAACATTGTTTTATTCTTAGGAGGCAGTTAGTTCTTATATTTATCTAAAGAAACCAAATGTGTGACTTTATGTAATCAAGGCCTAATAGGTACATGTCATTGCATCCTCTTGATAAAAATTACAAATTTAAGCATATTCATTAATTTAATAACCAGGATTTTCAAAAAAAATCAACTCTAAATGAGGTTTAGCTTGAGGATAGGTAATTTTCTATTCATCTAGATTTGAATACTACATGATTAATGTTTCCCTACTTTATCAGTTGATCACCTAAATTTCCAGTAATTCCAAAGTTACTTTTAAGGAGTTGTACAAATTAAGCTTAAGTTTCAGGACATTGATAAAGGGATGACTTTTACAGATAGGCCATTTTAAATGGCTCTTATTATCTATAAACAATAAAATATGATAATAATCCTATTCACAAATTGTTAATAAGTTCAGAAGGGAATCAAAGCAAAGATGTGCCAGATGTGTCACTCACCTTAAGTACTCAAATTGTAAGGCAGCAAATCTTAAGCATTAGAATATGCAGGTAAATTCAGTGGGTTCCTTTCCCACAGACAATACTCTCCTGAGGGGATCTGCAGTTATCTTCAAACTTTCATTATGGAAATCACTATGAAAATGGCTGATGTCTTACATTTCTTCTGAGGTGAGAAAGTTTAGCTCTAAATTGCTCTGTGGAGTTCAAAGCTATGTTCCACTATGATTTATCAGTAAAACATTCCCATATACCTTCTCAAAATCACTCTGTCTATTTTCTAAATCTCTTTTTCCTGTTTTCCTCCACATAATCTACTTACCACCTTCTGCACAAGGGTGCATTTCTGTACAATATGCAGAAGTAGATCTCACTGGTTTTTTCTGTGCCTGTACCCATTTCTAATTATCACCTTAGTATGATGTAATGCTTTTCCACCCCAGGTCTTTTCTGCTTGCTCTGATTTAAGGTCATATTCTGAAAACTAATAGCAGGGAGACTCTGACCAATAATGGGAATAGTAATTTTACATGGACATTTGCTGAGAAACTTGAGATAAGAGTAATCCTCCTTCAAAATATAAATGTAGATTTGAGTCTTCAATCTATACTGATTTTTATTCATTTTAATATAAAGGGAAAATTATGAGTCCTGTGGAGCAAAAACAAATGTAGGGGTGATGGAGGAGGGTCATCTGTCTGTGTGTTACTTTCACTGGTTAATAAAGAAACCGCTTTGGCCCTTTGATAGGACAGAAAATTAGGTAGGTGGAGTAAACACAACAGAATGCTGAGAGGAAGAAGGCAGTGAGGCAGTTGCCATGACTCTCCTCTCTGAGACAGATGAAGGTTAGGATCTTTCCCGGTAAGCCACCACCTCATGGTGCTACACAGATTACTAAATATGGGTTAAAGCAAGATGTGAGAATTAGCCAATAAGAGGCTGAAACTAATGGGCCAGGCAGTGTTTAAAAGAATACAATTTCCGTGTATTTATTTCAGGGGTAAGCTAGCCGGGATCTGGGCGGGAACGCAGCCCGTCGCTCCCACCACTACATAGGGGACATGTAACAGTCTCCACTCATGCCATAACAGAAGAAATGACAGCTAGGTTAGATTCAGCTAAAAAGTAACATATGCACAGTTTCATCATGCTGATAGAATTTAATCATTTAGATAAAACAACAAGCTACTGGAAGAGAAGTGCTTTTATCTAGATCAGAGTGACAAAATCCAAATGGTAGAGAACTTGAGGAAACTGTAGTTTGAAACATCAGGAAGAAAACTGCATTCTGCATAGACTCACACTAAATCCCAATAATGGCGATGTTCATGCAGCACGTTGTAACTACTATACTGGCCTATAACAGCATAGCATTTTTGATTTCAGAAACTACCAAGTAAAATGAGTGAACATTTCATGTTTGGTACATTTATAAGCTGCAGATGGTAAAGGGAATAGATGCCTCTGACATCATCTTTCAATTGGCTTCAACTTTTGCAGACACTGGCAGCCTATAAATTCACTCAGAGGATACAGGATAAGGCAGGCAGCTTTCTAATTCTGTTTCCAGCACCCAGCCATGTCAGCACCACCCCACACCACCTGCAAAAACAGTGAATAACCACCACTGTCAGTAGACTTCTGCTCCTTTCTTTGAGTCAGAGTGGTAACACCACAAAAATAAATTTGATTATAAGTATGTGTCAGTCTTTAATACAAAATTAATCATCAGGGGAAAGGGCTGTTGGAACATCCAAAGCTAAGAATTTTGTAGTTACTAACAACTGCCTGTTTTATTTGAAAATGACAGAAAGGCTAGATAAGGTGGTCATGGTATGACGGTGAAGAGCGATAGCTTCAGGCAGGCAAATAAAAGCTTTTGAAGAGAGCAGCATTTCCAAAATAATACACTGAATTTCAACATCCTCTGTTCACAATCTTAACTCTTGAGTAAGAAAAAAAAAGTCTATAGTCTATATCTTCGTCTATATTTTCTGAAAGTTCTAATAGAAATCTTTATCATTTCCCCAGTAATTTCAGAGAACATTATACAAAGTACAAGAAATTCATTTTTTTATTTCATTTTTTCTTTGTGTTAGAAGACCTATTCAAAAGACAAGGAACCTATGTAGTTCATTTTAAGAGCAAGAGATGACTGGGCAAAGCAGCAATTGCAAGGCCTTTCATAGTGCCTTAGGTGCCAAGATAGATTAGCACAGTTACCAAATAAGGTGAGTTAAACTCCATTAAAATCTTCCTATCCTCCCAGACACAACAATATATACTTCTGTAGCACAACATTTTAGCAGAAAAAAATTCAAAAATCAAGACAAGGAAAGTGTTAACATAAAAATAAATCCTACTAGGCCAAATATGCTGCTTATTTTTTGAAGTATCTTTCAGCGCAAATAACAGACTCATGCTCTCTCCACACATACACACGTACATACACACTTGTACAAGAATAAACAAAATTATCTTGTTAATAGCCACAAAGTAGGTTGGGATATATTAGTGCAAATTTTTGCTGACCTGCAGCATTTAGTCCATAAATTTTGGATATCCTAGACGATCCATCAGTGTCCAGCAAATATTTTCAATTATTTTAATTTCATCTCTAGGCAAGTTTTGTTTCCAAATATTAGTATTAGATGGTGATATTTCCCCCTCAAAAGGAAGATAGAAAAGGTTTGTGGAAGTGGCAAACAGTATTTGGTTTAAACTAGAAGGAGACAAAGGAATTCCAAGGAATGCAAAAATTCTTTCTGTAGTCTTCTGAGGAAATTGAACAATATCTTCAAACTTGACCAGCTGGTAATTGGTAGGCAGCAAATCTGTATTTATTCTCAAAGCTGCTGCAGTGTTTGCTAGCCACAAATGAGATAGTAAAGAGACAGTATTTGACTGAGATGTTTCTAATTCTTTCTTCAGTGATTCATACTCAAAAGCATAGCCTGAATTTAAGTTACATTTGCTTTTACCTTCCTCTATTTTAAACAATTTTGTTAAGTGCTCTGGTACATTTTTCAAAGAATAAAGACTTGGTTTACTACCATATAGCATTGAATAGATCCAGGCTCGAGGGTCTCGTACTATGTACAAAGCCCGCATTGAAGTTCCTAAAACTTCCTGAAAAAAATGAAGCTTCAATGTCCAGCTTCCACTACTTAAACTGAGCACAGGACGAGCACTTGGGTAATAAACTAGGTGTCTTCTCAAGGCCCTAATATATTCAGTATCTCTATCAAAAGCTCCTTTCATTTTACTTCTTTGTTCTGGCAAAGACTCTCTCCTTTTCAGTTTTTGGGTTTTGTCCTTATTAGCTGCAAAATACTGAGCAAGTTTATTCCTACCAGTTTCACGAAGATTAATATTTTGCAAATGAAATTTTGTGTCCTGGACCAAAGACAGCAGCCACCCTCGAAGAAGATGAAAATGCCCAGTGCGGATATCTGATACTTTCCATTCACAAGCATCTACAAATGAGTCAATTTCAAATTCAGTTTCAGGAATATCAATGTAGGCTGTAGGTATTCTGATGTAGAGAAAATCACTACTGTTGAAAAAAACTTGTTTCAGAATTTCAGCTCCTGAGCCAGGGAGTGAGGTAATAACAACATCAGGCAGATCTACATGCTTCCCTTCAGAGGTTATGGTCTTCTCATTTGTCTTGGTTTCAGTCCTTGTCCATTTTGCACAAATGGGCTGAGTACAAGTGCTCCACACATCCAGAAACTCAATAAACCACAAAGCAATAACAAGTATTAATACACAGCGCATTAGCTTTCTAAAAGAAAGGTAGAACCGCCACTGAAAAGTTAAAATAACCAAACTAATACACAAAATGAATCCAACTGCTATATTAAATTTAAATCCAAAAGGGAAAATAACTCTATCGTGCCTTACAGGGTTTGCTATTGCTTGAGTCCCTAAACCAAATCGGGTTATTTGGCCTTGATTAGCCACACTGGCAAAACCACCAAATCCCAGGTAATCAAATCTCCTTTTCAGATTTTGATAGTCAGTTATAACAGAAACACTATGTTCGGTATTATTGACATTTAGAGAAATCTGAAGTCCAGAACTAGAACTGTCAATAAATTTGCAGCTAGAAACATTTATATATGGACCATAAAATACATAAGCAATTCTTGTGATTGTAGATTCCATATGAAATGTAACATTAACAAACTGAGTCCACCTTTTCTTAAACTCAGCAGCTTGTTCTGCTTCCTGTATATTAGCCACAGGAGTGTTACCATGATGATCAAACCAAAACATTTTATAGTGTGCATCCCACACATCCATCATGGCACCATTATACCTATTCATAAACCTGTATGGGATGTATTTAAAATCAATATCCAAATTATGAAAGAAGGCACTGACAGAATTTATTGGGGACGTTTCCTGCCTTTCAATGTGGTCAACAACAAGTAGAGTTTGAGAATTTAAGAGAAGTAAAGCACGATATACACTTTTTAGTCTCATTGTTGAAGAATAAGCAGCCACTGCTTCCCCACTTACAAACATCATTTCTCCATGTTGTGAAGCAGTAATAACTTCCCCAGCTGCATCACCAACCTCTTCACCAGTCCACTTGAGCCACTGTGCACATTCTCCCAGTTGACCTTCCCAAGGTTTATTACACTGGCTTGATGGTGATGGGGCAAACACCAACACATTGTTAAGGTGGCTTAACTTTGGTCCATAAAGAGCCTCAGAAACAAATACTTGTCCATTGGGGGCAAAAGTAAATGAATTTTGATCTGGATGTTCATGTCCTGGGTTAAAGCTTCTCCATCCATCAATCCAGGAATATGGCTGAAAGTGAACTATGTCATACACAGCTCGTCCTCCTAGTTTCCCAGATTTAAAAGACACAAAGGTATTGGCCTGTGTATTTGGCAGTCCTGCCCCATACGTCACAACACCCCAGTTAGGAAAAGTGTGCATTTTAGCTGTGCCAAAGTCAACAGGAGGCTGTGGGGTAAGCTTTGGATCATACCAGATGTATTCAGTATGAAGAGTACTCCACCTTTGGGCAGTGGAAGGAACCATTGGTCCATCCTTAGGTCGATGCTTTCTAATTTGCTGAGCTAACCAATTTCCAGCTCCATTTCTTAAAATGAACTTATCCAAGAAAACTAGCTGGCTCTCTGGACCATAAAACCAATTATAATTAGAATCTGCTACACCTATAGTTCTTTGATAGCCTGGTAAAAGCGTAGCATAATAAAACCAAAAGTGCATTTTTAACCAGTTATTATCCAAGTTGTTGATGTTAAAATGGCGTTGTGCCAAAAAAACATACTGTGTAAGTGATTTTGAAGTATAGCTTCCATAGGCTACACCTTCATCCAAAGAGCCATCTACAATATGATTCAAGAGAAACATAGTCTTTTCCATAACATCAACAACATCTTGCTTCCATATATGTGTTTTAGATCCTTTATCTACTCCAGTAACCAATGCACCTATGAGCAATGCTATCATATTTGTAGCTTGGTGGTTATGAAGAAGTTGTTTGCCCCATGAGCGAATCTTTGAATATTCATACATTTCCTCAGTAACAATCCGTATTTTTTCTAGGTATTTTTGTTTTCGCTGATTACCTAACTGATTATACAAAAAATCAAAGGCAGTGGCAAAGCCTGTTAAAGAATGGCCAACTGGAACCTCATCCCCTGGTGCATTCTCAACTAGCCAGTCTTTGTAGCTAACCATCCTATCCATGTATTCCAAGGTAAATTCAAAGGCAACTTTGTCTTCGGGACATAATAAACAATACAGTGCTAAAGGAGGAAGATTATTACCATATATTTCATTCCACTTGGCAGCAAAATCAGCATGCTTGGGTGGAGGTAGGTAGTATGTTGGATTAGAGAGCATAATTGTCACTGCACTTCTGATAGCTCTAAAAAGATGCAAATGGCTTGTACGAGAATTTTGTCTCATTGTTTGTACATCTCCAGCATCAAAATACAAATTTGGATGAAGTTTTGGGTTAGATCTGAAATCTTCTAATTTCTGATTCTTAAACTGTTGTATACCATCTGTAAAAACTGCCCATCCAGAGTAATTGCTCACAGATTCTTCGCAAGTAGAAAAACTAAACATCATCATTAAAAATAGGAAATGTTCTGTAAACATTAACGCCATGATCCATCAGGAAGATCTTTCCTTAGGCATACATGTTAAACACAGTGTTTAATATGTTTCTCATCTGGTCATTATAAATTATATATTAAAGATCTAGATAAAACAGATTTTGTACCTCATAGGCTGTGAAATCCAGATGATATTCAGCTCATCCAAAGCAAAGAACGTTGTTATGAAAGGAAAACTTACATCATATTTCTGTTTCCCCGGCAGTTTTGCATCCAATAAAATAAAGCTTCAAGGAATATAAGTGCCGCCAATGTTTCCATAATGCCCAGAAAACAGCAGTGTAGCCAGAAAATACCATGAGTCCAGCATTTATTTTCTTTACTTACTCTAATTAACATTAATCTAATAATCATGGGAAAAAGAGAAAAAAATCCCCAAATTTAAATAAAGCTGTTTGTAGCATGAAGCATAAGAAACCATCCTTATTGATTAACTCACCACACATACAAGGTATGTTTCTGTTTGTTACCAAAGAGAAGATCATAAAATATTGTCCTTCTCAGCGTGAGCAAACTTTACTATTTCTTATTTCTCTCAGAGTCTTGATCTGTGAATTGTTTCTTCTTCCATTTTGGGGAGGAAAATATTCCAAATAATTGTTCAAAGTCCTACATGATTGACAAACATGATCAAAGTTTCTGCCTTCATTTCAAACATCTTTTTAAAGTATTTCCAAATCTTCCTTTTACCAAATGTATCTGTACCTTTAGAAGAATCTAAGCTCTTCAGTCTTTAGGTGCTCGTCTTCAAATCATAACCAACAACTGGGAAAAAAATTCCCCTTTCAGCAAAACTAAAGACTGTTTTCTGTTCCTTTTTCATGTCACTCCTTTCTGGATGGAAAAAAAAAAAAAACAAAGCAAATTTGTAAGGGTACAGGTCTCCTGAGTTTAGAGATTAACTAATGAGTTAAATAGTGTAAGCCATTTAATAAAAATGTGAGTATTACAGTTAAAAATCTTATATTATTTACAATCTAACATTTCTCGTGTTTCCCCATATTTTCATAAACACATGGATCCCAATTAATATTAGCAGAGAAGAAGCAACTACAAGACATATTTCATATCTCAGAGTGTTTGTTTCAGCTATTTAAACGTGTTTCTATTCACACGTCATCATCATAGTTATTTTGGTTATGAAAGGTAAAAGTCAAAATGACCCCTTAAAATTATGACTCAAAGTTTAGCTTTTAAGGAATCAGAATGTCGCTTCAAGAAACAAGTTATTTTCCTGAGGAGAAATTATGACTGATAGGGTAGAAGGCTGAAAAAAGGAACCCTTGGCTCTGTTGCTCACCTGTAGCAGCTGCCTTCAACATCCTCACCAGGAGTCACCAGAGAGCGCGCAGACTCGGGTTTAAGGAACAGGCCTCTCCTTTGCCCATCTTGAATTTGAAAGACCCTCACTAAGTTTCAGTGTTAGACAAGTCTCCTTTCTATAGGAAACAAACACTTTCAGTGGTTTCCTGACCTGCGTCATCTGTTGCACATTTTAATTCGTGTCTTCAGAACGATCGCCCTTCTGCTCAGCTCCCCACTTCCTGACCGGTGGCTGTGACGTGGGGACTCCAGACATCTACATGGCCAACTCCGCTTACCTCCAAGCCGCCAGCGACAGCGTCTTCAAACTGAGCTGGGCCCCAACAAAGGCAAAGGTGAGGACTTCAAGAGATCGTTGTTCTCGGAAGGCCGGACTGCGAAGACCAAGAGCTCGGCGGGCGACGCGGGGATTGCACAGGCAGCAGCCGAGCCAGGACTCCTCAGCGCGGCGGCCTCCTCAGCGCGGGGTTCTCCCGAGCGCCACGGTCCCCTCTGGGTGTGGAGTCTCCTCAGGGCCAGGTCTGTCTCCACACCCGGACACGTCCGCCCTTGAGGAGGGCTGGGGGCCCGCAAGGGTGGCTCCGCTGGCGGAAGGAAACCGCTGGCGGCGTGAGATCGGAGGCGCCTTCTCCAGCTGAGCCCCGCGACACAAGGCCCGGAAGTCCCTCTCCGCAGAGCTAACTGTGGTTGCCAGGGCCGCGGAGGGAGGAAAAAGGCAACAAGGGCCGGAGGGCGGGGGCGGGGCCTGACGCGCAGAAGCGTGTCTGCGGTCGGGAGGGGGCGGAGTCTTGGAGGAAGGGAGAGGGAGAGAGGCCTGCGCACCGCAGGCCCGCGAGCCAGGGCGGGGCGCTGTAGGAAAAGATGAGGCCTTCGTGAAGGCCTCGGAGGCATGTTTCCTGCCAGAGGGCTGGGGATGACTGAACCCCTTGCTGCAGGGCCTCCTTGGGAAGGAAACACCCAGACTGTGTCTAGACAGTTTGGCAGTTGCTCTGGGAACAACTCAACTAGATTTGTTGGAAGTTTGAAAGCCCATTTATTGAAGATCTATCTGTCTGGCCTGTTGTTCTGACCTTTTGGTAATTAGACAAAGACAACCGTAAAACATCTAAATATAACAGAAAGGAGTTGTAATTGCAAATAATCAAGAAACTCTTGGGATATGGGATGGGTGACGACAGTGGAAGGACTTGAATAATCAATTATCCTTAAGGGTAAGAGTGGGAAAGGACTGGAAAGCACTTTGGAACCTGAGGCACACTGGCTGAGATTGCAGTCCTAAAAATACAAAACCAAAATGTCCAGATTAATATACTTGAAACAACTTCAACAGAAAAAAAAATGGACTAGTCACCTCTTCTGACTGAAAGCTTCTCCTGGAGTGTAAACAGAAGCAAATATGGGACAGCAGGCATGAACGAATCCTAGGAAACAAGAATCAACAATCAGTAAAAACTTGTAGATAACTCTTACTCTGATCACTGTCACACCACCACCACGTGTGTGTGTGTGTGTGTGTGTGTGTGTGTGTGTGTGTGTAATTTGAAGGTTGGGAATTCAATTGCAAAACAAGCTGTTATACTCACTTGAGCATTTTCCACAGAAGTACATTACACCTGGGCATAGACTAAGCAGCTGTCTGGTCAATAACTTGGCCATAATAGTACAAGGAGCTGTCAAGCCTCACAGACAAAAACTTCAAATTAATTACAGTTCAGTTTCCTCTAACCTGTGTTACTAGTAGAAATATACAGCTGTATTCAGGTGGGGAAAAAAAACAGGTGATTGAATGACATTCTGGTAAGAAGCAAAAATAATTTTACAAGTCGAGTTATTTTGAGAACATGTAATTATAGACAAAAAACACTTACATTTTGTCTCATTTGGAACTCTGTCCTAACATAATAGCAGGAGTAAGATTTGCTTAGGCCCTGCAGTAATTGTGTGTATTCAGTGACTTCTTTAGAGTGTCTGCTGTCCAATCATACCCACATAGTGGCTACAATGTTTTTCTTAATGGAATTTTCTTATCCTGCTGAAGGTCATATATTTACATTCTTTGTCAAGTACCCAAACCAAAGTACTTCAACAGGATGATATTATTTTTTTTCCTGTGTGGGCTTCTAAATTGGTCTATGTGTTACATTTCCACTTGGTTCACTTCTCAACTGTACATGACAGTCTGTCTAGTCATAAATAGTTAGCATCTTTGTAGGAGCTGTGTTTGAAATACATTGATGTTTTAACATTTTGGTTTGATGGAACCTTTCTCCTTTACTAAAAGTCACTCCAAAATAGGTTTCCCTTACAGATAACTTCTCACAAATAGTTGTATTTTCTTTTCCATGCAGCCAGATTGGAGAACACTCACTGTTTTGTCTTTTTTATGGGATAGTAAGGAGTTCTGACATTATGACTTCAGACTCCATTTTCTACCAAGAAGATCCAAAAAACAGTGTTCATAAAAACAGTTGGTAGATATATAGGGCATGTCTTAAAACAAAATGTGTGGATAAAATGATTTCATCTTGTGGTTCCACAGTACCCTGTGATGTGAAGTCTTAACAGAACGAGAAGGTATTAGTGTCAGAAGAACAGTTCTTAATCAAAATTTTCATTCAGTCATTGTATCTTTTGATTTATTATCATCAATTTGCTAATTTTACTTCACTGATAAATGAATCCTATGTATATATTCTAAAATCTTTTCGTTTCTGAGCTATACATACATATGGAAATAAGGTATGAGAGCACAGGTAAGTTCTCAGCATGATCAAATTAGCTTTCAGGATAACCTGTTTAAACAGGAAACTTCTCACAGTTCTGACATATGAGTGTGCTGAAATAAAACAGCTCTGGCAGAAAGGCTGGTAGGTAAATGACACTATTTAAAATGAAAAGTCTTGTTTGCTGTGAACTAAAATGGAGAGCTCAAATTATGACTTTCACATATGAAATTGCCACAAAGTTAATTACAAATAATGCAGCCAACCATACAAGAGGTGAACTATAGTCTGTTATTGAACATCAAATCCCTTTATGAGTGTGGCAAGAGACACTTATACCAATAGCTGCTCAATTCAGAATTGTAGAACAATAACTTTTAATGAAAATGAAGAACAGTACAGAGTATTGCTCTGGGGATTCCTTTCTATATAAAATGATCTTAAGCATACATGATAATTTACACAGTGATTTCAAAATACTTTTGAAAATCCATTTTCTTTATTTGCACCTTTTTCAAATACCAGCTGTCAAATACCCAATCAAAAATAACAGACCCAGTGTTTTCTAGAATAGATTTCCTGCCCCCCACCCTGGACTAAAATCTGTTTTTTTCTTCTTGTTCTCCATATACCTATTGTCCAGTCCTTTCTTTATTCTACCCTACCTTCTATTGTTTTCCTTCTCTCCTTCCCTCTCTTTGTCCTTCCATTTTTTTCACCTACTACCCCATCCTTCTCTTACTCTGCTCCTCCCTTTGCTTTCCTTTCTTTCCCTAATTTCTGTTCTCTATTCTTTAGTCCCTTGTTTGATATCTTTCCCAGAGCCCATCACTTTGGATTGAAGATGTTGAAAGTTGATCATATATCACTACCCCTAGTTAAAGTGGAAGAGAGAATAAAGTAAAAGTCTAAAGTGAGTAGCTTAATTTAAAAGCTCTTTTTCTCATGTGTTGCGATATTTGTTTCTGCATAATCTATTGTTGTGTAATTGTCTTCAGGATAGCTTAATTATGCCGTGATATGTAGGAGTGGACAGTGAATCAACCTTTTAACAAGATTCTTGGAAATAATTTTATGTCTAAGATAGGTCAATGCATGTTCTTAGATTTACAACAAAAGTTAAAGTACTATATGGTCTTAAAGAACAATGAAATGGACCAGTGACTACATAAAATTCCTAGGCAGGAATATTTTTGCCTTTCTCTATTATTTTGATGGACTCTTAATAATTGGGATCAAGAATCCAAGAATCATCTGCTGTTCATCCAGCACCAAAGTGTTGCAGGAAAATTATTCACACTCCCACTCCATGGTCCCAATAAAGCCACCTTGAAATGAAGAAGGAATCAGTGATTTGCTGACAAGGATTAACCATAAAGATGTGGGTGGTCTGAGGAACGGGTAGAGAGAGAGACTAGAAGAAAGAAAGAGCAGCTGAGCGAGACTTCTGGGGCTTTTTGATCTGGAAAACATGGAGAATAGGGTCATCCAGCTGCCCCTTCTTTGTTCCTTGAATAGGTCAGGTTTTTGTCTCAATTTTTGATGGCTGAGTTTTATTAATACTAGTCCAATTTAGGTAAATGTTACATATGGCATCCAATGTGGGAAAAATATGTATTTCCACATAGGACCCTAGAAAGCTTTTTTAAAAAAAAATGTTTCAGACACACACACAGTGCCAGACATAGCTTCCTAGCCCCTCCAACTCTCAGGAATGCCACAACATACAGAGACACAGCTCTTGGCCTTTGCCTTCAGGCTTGAGCCAGCCAGCATCATGTGTGGAGATACACAGTGAGTTTAAGGTTTGACTCATGTAATCACAGAAGGCTGAAGGTGCATAAGAATGTGTTTCAGGCAGAAAAAAATGGGTATGGACAGTCATAAAGTAGTTTGAAAATAATAAAATAAAGAGTAAAGTAACATGTAAAAAGTCACATAAGGATTGGAAATACATAGTACATCTGGATCCTCTATGATGTGTTCTTGACTTTTAATTTTTTGAGTGATGAATGAACAGCAGCAGCTGATAAACATGGAATTATGGAAGAGACGGCTAAATAATCCAGCCTATATGGTTTAGAGACATTATGGCTTCAGAATGGAAGTTGGTAAATGTGTTTCATTGGGGAAGAGGTGCCTTTGTTTCCACAGGAAGCAAAAAGCAATGGATTATTTCAAAGTTTTTAGCTATTAGGTTTGACCAGAGGAGACTTCAGGATGATCTTTGCAACAAATATGAGGCAATAAGACAGTAACAACTACAGGACAGGCTATGTGTATGTTGATTCCTCTTCATGGAAACAGCCCTGACACTGGAGGAGACATGATAATTCTTGGTGGTACAGAGTCCTCATGACACATTATTATATGCCATCCATTCATATGGTGTGAATAAAGTTTTGGTTATACAGTTTAAACAAACTTGTAAGTTAAAAAATGCCTTTTACCTATTCAAACATAAAACAAAATTATCATCTGTAACTGACTTGTGAATAGTCCACATTCTATGCTTGGGTTAATACAAATATGTGCTACCTTTAAAAGTTTGTCTTTTCGAAAACAAAACAAAGCAAAACAAAACAAAATAAAATCAAAGAAATAAACACTGATAACAACAAGTATCCCAGTTAATACAACCACTCAGAATGACACTTTTGTAGTTTCCTC